GAACTGCCCGGTAAACCGTAGGCAGAGAGAGAGAAGAGGACAACAAACGAGGGGCTGTGACAAACTGTTTCGTCGGAGTTTCACCGACTCATCAGGAGGCTGAACCCTCAACAGTCTGCAGAATCCCCTTACTGATTACACTGTAAATGATATATATGTATATAAGCATCCCTCTCACCACCCACACACACACACACAGAGAGCATCTGACGGCTACGTGTCATTCAGCCTGTCTCTTCTCCCTTTCCACCCGTCGATCATCATAATGATTAACCATATCTTCCCAACCCCTCGAGAAAAAAACAAGATAAAAGAAAAAAAAAGAAAAAAAAGAAAAAAATGGCCAGATTCCATTACCCTCCACAATAGTCACTTGGAGAGAGAGAGAGAGAGAGAGAGAGAGAGAGAGAGAGAGAGAGAGAGAGAGAGAGAGAGAGAGAGAGAATGCAGGCTCTAAGAAGGCGTTCGATTGACTCTATGCCGTAGAGTCGATTGATCAGCTGATCCGATGAATCTTACCCGTCGATTAAATCGGTTCTCTGAACCGTCGATTGAATGCGCTGATCGGTTCCATCCCAACCGTCGATTGAATGTGCTGATCGATTCAATCCAAACCGTCGATTGAATCAGATGGTCGGTACAAACTAAGCCATCGATCGAATCATTTAATCAATCCGCTGATCTCAGACGTCGATTCAATCGGTTTATAGATCGATAGATTGATTCAAGCCGTAGATGTGATTCAATCTGTCGACCAAATGATACTTGCCGTCGATTGAAGCGAGTAAGATAAAGGCCATTCTTTTACTCACCCGCGCTCGACTAATTAATTAATAATTGATATATTAATAATTAATTAATTAATTATTAATAATTAATTAATTAATAATTAATAATTACTTAATTAATCAAATTAGTCGATTGGCCGTACACTTCCAATTACCGACTGTTGCCGTAACCGTTCCGTTCACTCCGTTTGTTTTGTTCCGTTCCGTTTCGTCCCACTCCGTTTGTTTTGTTCCGTTCCGTTTCGTTCCGTTAACCTGAGTCACGTCTCTTCTTCTTCTTCTTCTTTTTTCCTCTCTCTCTCTCTCTCTCTCTCTCTCTCTCTCTCTCTCTCTCTCTCTCTCTCCCCCATTCGCTCTCTCTCTCTCTCAGAGCACAATGAGGTGACACGGCAGCAGAGACTGAAGGAGACGAGAGGAAGAGAACGAACGCTAAGGGTAGTACCCTCCCGCTTCAACTTTTCCCGACTGAATTTCGCCGCGGTTACGGTCAGATACATCCAGCAAACCTGAGTGTGAATATGCTCTAAGCATGCACAATGGTAGAATGGTACAAGGAAGTAAGCAAGCGGAGAGAGAGAGAGAGAGAGAGAGAGAGAGAGAGAGAGAGAGAGAGAGAGAGAGAGAGAGAGAGAGAGAGAGAGAGAGAGAGAGAGAGA